AATTTAGATTAATAGGCCGCCATACTTAATAAGTGGAACGCTCTGCAGACAGATTTAGTGAAAATACATCAGACACGTTCGCTAGTGACCTCTTCTCCCCGACTATAATATAACGAGACCGATACCGAGAGAGAGAATAATAGAAATTCGTTGCGAATTTGCCACGAACACTCCTTAGAATAAAAGAGGAAAATAATCAATCGATCAAATTAGACACTTGTCTCCGCACCCTCCAATGCGCAGATCGAAAAAATGGAAAACTGGTAAAGGTTAAGTTAAGACATTTAGCTGTAAAGGTTCATATTAATTTCGCCTGGGGCCATTCCGTTTAGTTTCAAGTAATTCATTTAATATAATGGACGTGTTGTGTTAATGCATTGCTCAAGAAACGTTGAAAGTACAGTAAATTCTCTATTTACATATAATTACATAATTTAATGAAGAATAAATACCCAAGTTACCATTTTTTCTAAATAAAACATACTCACAATTTCTTTCAAACCTTCTATAATACTTCTATTCTTAACATTATTAACTTTATGTACCTATGCACTTCAATATCTTCTATTTACCCTGCATTTTTGAAATATTCCAAACTAACGTGTCCACAAAAATTAGTTATTTAGAAAACCTTGACATGCTTAGGGTTTAAAAGGGCCAGGATTAAATGATTAACACTCACTTGTCGGCACATTTGAAAGAATTTATTTCGTACACGTATGTCATTTAGAAGATAACGGGGTCATGGTAAAATGCATTAATCAATACTGTTGCTTGTAATGGCACAAATTTAGCAAGAAATCGATATTAATGCCACAAGTGCGGCGAATTATGCATGTATATAGATTTGCAACAATGCATCTTTTATGGCGAAGAATATTGGCGAAACGGAGCGATTTGAATTTTTAACAGGAAGGGAGTGTTTATTGATTTTTTTTCCATGTGAAATATTCATAAAATTTGTTAGACAAGATTTCATAAATAGAAAGAACAATTTCCAAATTAAATTTAATCTTCGTGTGTACTTAAAACAAAGGTGATTAGCACTTTAACCTAATTGCTACAACAAAGTGAATAACCTGTTTATTGTACCTACAATATAAGGTAGAAAAATATCTCAAATTGATATCGTAATTCATTTAATTTAATCCGATATAATTGCAAACAGATCAAAAGATCAACAGCATGGATAGAAGATAAATTAAAGTATTATTTTTCGGAAGTTGATAACATCATTAATCAAATTAAAATTGTTTACTTTCAATTAACTACGGCCGTGGCTTAATTTGTTAAGGGTTATTTAATTATGTTGATTAAGGTTACATAAATGATGTGGCCAAATCAAGGTTCTTTTCGGCAATAAAGTAATGCCGATACGATTATGCAAATAGATGATTTCATCCCTATTATTGAAACAAAATATCGTTTTTCGTCTGAATAACCATACGAGGAAAACCAGGCCAACAGTTATAATTGGAATTTATATTTCAGTAAAATTGAAAACCGTCGCGCTTTCTGCAAATTTTGTTCGTACTTTACAGGCAAAATTGCGAAATATACTCAATTTTAACGATTTTTTCACTAATATATGCAATTATTTTACCTAATTCAAGCCCTCATTGAAGTATAATAAATACCTACTTAGAGATTTCCCTATACTAAATGTCCTCTTCCTATGGGAATACGCGGGCGTGAAATGCAAATTTCAAGCAATAATACAACCCACAATACCGTCTAATATAATGATACAAGAGCTGCTATATTATTTATTAACTTCCAATAATTACCTTTGATACTACTCTTCTGTTTAATAGAAGCTCCACATAATTAGTCAGGTATTAAATGCACCTACGTGCATAATTTATTAAAAACGATACTTGTAAACAGAATTATATAGTGTAACGAAGTTGTAATCGTTCTAAAAAGAATACACTAGATTGTAGAAAAGAAATTTTGTTGGGAATCAATAAAAATTACACACAATTTTTACGACCCTCTCTTACTTTATTATTACTTAAAATATGTAATAAACTGATTTTTAATAGGTTAAGGCGCCTTTAATATTTTGAATATAAATGCAAATTTTATGTAAAATCGTGACCCATAAAGAAGCATTACGTGTTAAAATACATAATAGTAAAATTTTTCTTTGTTGAACATATTTTAAATCTAGGAAAAATTAATTGAGCAATTAAAAACATTATTTTACCGATTTTTATCGTTTATTTTTTTAATCGTTAATTAAAAATAACAAATACAAACACATGTATACAGAAAATCAACTGTTGATCTTCAAGAATTTAATAAAATAGAGTTTGTGTACACTTGGGTAAAGCGTACTAACCATTTATTCCCCAAAGTTGTGCAATATTTCCTTATGTCTTTCCGTTGTTACTATTGTTAGATAGTAATGTCTTCTAATAATAGGGAAACTTTATTACGTTCATTTAATTTAAAGACTCTTATAAATGATTTATTTCATTTCGAGTCGTAATTTTTACGTTCGACCGTTAAAATAGCGTACATTAATCTTTCATCCGCTTTGTAGCAGTAGCAGTAAAGATTAATGAAACTTATCCCATTTTATTTTCGTACGTCATTATATTGAATTTTTATTTCAGCGGAAGTTTCAAATTTTTCGAGAAATGCGTTGTTAGGGAAAATAGTTTAAATTTTAATTTAAACAGATGGAAATCAACTAATTTGATTTTCTATGTTGATTTAATTTGCTTTATGGAGCAGGTTTCGAAATTCACTCGGAAGGTCCAAATTAATTTGTTAGTGCATATAAATTGCATTATTGATTTCGAGGCAATTAAAACGGAATTAATGAAACTAATACCAGCGTTAATTCGCAATTATTAGAAACATTCTTCAACAAATCAAAATCCTGCGCTATGCCGGGAGAAAACGTTTCCATTAATTGTTATTGCATGCTTCCATAATTATGCCAATGCTCTTTCATTCGAAATAACCAACAAAATCATGATCACTTTAAGCAATTTAACTCCGATCACGACTTTTTTACATTCAGCGAACTATTATTTTTCTAACATAACGCCTTCGGGAGAATATCTACGACCACAATCCCGTTCCTCAATTGAATTGAATTAACCAACTTTTTATCGTTTCGAGAATTTAAATTACATCTGATGAATCGATATTGAATGAATCGACCGGCCCGCCATTAACTTTTCCGCGTGGGTTGATAAATCAAAATATGAAGGTAATACATCAACACTAACAGGATGTTTTCGAAAGTTGTCTAATGATAAACGGTTTAAATAAAAAGCTTTTCAATGTTGCATTTTATTCAAAACAACGTGAAATCCTGTCATTAAATCAATTTTAATGAAACTACCAAACATTTTAGATAGAAGGATCGTTGATTTTTTTAATTCATCTTAACGTTTTAAATTGCAGTAGGTAATAGAAAGTTTGTTATACTTTTTTTATTAAATGAATTATACATATTGCACCCTACTTTACAGTACATTGAATAAACACGCTCGAAAGATCCCCTTGAAAGATAAACTGGAATTTTGAGGAATAAAAAACAATCAAATTATAAATTCCCAAGGGCTCACCTTCAAATATTTGCATAATTCATCTAAATTTGAAAAGATATAACTTTCTTTTTTCTCCTTCAGATCGTATACTCATCGTAAAAAATTCCCGCAATAGGCAAAGGCGAAGATTGATGGGACCCTTTGGGTATAATAAGTTGAATTAAATTCAAAATCGATAGTAAACGTGTTAGCACATATCGACATTCTGGAGCAACGAATTTTCAAATTACCCGAGCAGCCGAAGTTTCGTCTTGTACAAAGGGCTTTAAAATTCGTTTTATGGGTTTGTTGACTGAAGCGTCAACTTTATGGTTAACCAGCGAGCAGGTGTAAAGCTAATAGTAAAAATGGTAATTAACAGATCGTAACCAAAGAACAATTCCCCGTCGTCATAATTTCTTATTTCCTCTTCGAGTACTTATACCTAGGTAAACCGATGGAACGTGTTTTTACAAGATAAAATCAATTTTATTGTCCATTGAATTTTTGCGAAAATCCATTACGCAATAATCGCAACAAAAGAGAATCTGTCTCGACCCTTCTAAAAGCGTATATGTAGTTGCTAAAAGCTACATTCATTTTCCGAATGCGCCCCTAAAGCTGGAAAAACCGGTCGTGGCAGCTTTCTGCGTTTAGAACTTTATTTATTCTTAAACGAACACGATTTTGAAGAGCGTCAATGATGATTTGTTATTCAAATTCTCCTTCGAACTGTGGGCTTTTGTTCGCAATGGGAAGTAGACATTATGCTCACGAAAGCGATGCCTACAAGACGCCAAACAACGCGAAACAAAAAGTTAAGAGGATCCGGATGGACCTTCGCCTTTATTTATTACCGACAGCATAAATTCTTAAACGAATAGCACCAGGAAAACGCCTCACTATAAAATATCCCGCAATAGCAGGCAATAAGAAATGTGCAATCTGTTGTAGTGGAAAGACATCCAGTGGTGAATAGCGTAAGTTTAGGGAAAAGCTAAAATAGCCACGGAGATGAAGAAAATGGAACGAACGATCCTCTTAAATCGAGGAAAGCGATGCCGAACGACGCGAAATAGAGTTAAATATAGAATGATCGTTCGTTCCTTGTTCGGAGTTGCGCTGAACTCGTGACCCTGCCGCTTTTGGCTCGCTCGCTACTTCCATCCGTTCCGCGGCAGGACGTCGTTAATTCTCCTGCTGAAATCAATGGAAGACCGGAGATAAATCGTGACCCTATCTGGACCTCTTTTCGCCATCGCTCCCCGAAGGGGAACTTGCGGTCATATTGAAATGTTTCATTCATTCTAATGTAAATAAGTTTCAGGTATTTAGACGGGTTCGATCATTGTCAGCGATCTGTTCGTCCGTCTCGAACGCCTCGTTACGTATTCACCGAGGAAATGAATTCGTTTCGCGTCCGAAGTCCTGAGAAAATTTTAAAATTCACTTTTGAGTTATGGGCAACCGCTCGGCGTGATTAATTAAACATGCTTATACAATATGCGATCATCTGCTAACTGGGATGCTACAAACATAGATGAAGTTGTCGCGGATATAATTTACGAATTTCTTTACAAAAATTATGTTCGATTTGATAGATGCTTGCAATACAAAAATTCTGAAAAATGTTGAAATGACATGCCCTTACGCTAGAATTATTATTTACAATAAACTCAATCGATATTTGGAGCAACAAAAATGTACTATAATTCGAGCGATTTTTCACGATTCGTCGCTTTTTAAGGGAGTACAACGGGGATGTCTCGTTACCATGACACTAAAACAATGCGTTATAAAGAACAATACGTTTAATAGTGAAATCGAGTACGATTTTATCTTTGTTTTTCGAATCTAAAGCGGCGAAAAAAATATGAAAAGCGATGGAAATCGCAATTACGTCCGCGCATCCGATGGGATTTAAAATTCACCGCATCGCAATAGAACAAATCGCATTTTTACCATGGAATTTTAAAACGCGATTATTTACTTCCCAACAATCGTTTCCGATCTGTCAGTTTATTAAATTGTCAATGCGATTTTCAGGATTCCGAAGCGAGTCCAGTTTACTGGCGTCCTTCTCGGCTCTGTAGTTGTGGCTATTGATTTTCCAACAGGTCGATATCTCTCTCACCGTCTCCAGCTAAGTTAAAATTTAGTACGTCTATTCAGATGGTCGTGTAACAAAATATTCTTTATTCACGATTCTCGAATTCTCGCTCTAAATCTGGCATAGATTTCATATCCATTAATTTCGTGATTGCGTGCTATACCCAACGCCGGCATGATGCTCTTGTATAGCGATTTCCCATATAAATTCATTAATACATACTTGATGAAAATTTAATATCGAACTGACAATTTTCACTTATAACCGCGATAAATTATTCTACTCAACTATCTATACTATTATTTTACGGTGTGTTAGTCTTTCAAATGAGTAGGTAATTGTTGTAATTCAAATATTGACTTACTTCAAGAACATCTCGAGATCTAACCCTGTGAATGAGGAGGCATCTAAGTTATTGACACCTTGTTGGTATTGGTATGCGTTGTTTGACCTCCAATTGGTTGATGGAGGCTGAGGCCTGTGTTATTCTCCAGTAGCTGTTACAGTCGTCCAATTCCAAGGGCTTGTGTAGCCTTTTTGGCTGTAAAAAAATTACGAAAGTGTTGTAAAAAGCTTGTATTGGAGTTTTCAAATATCCGTATAGAACGCATGATTGAGATAAACCAAAAGTAATGCTTTTATGAAGGATTAGATTAACGTAATAAAATAAATAAATACTGCAGTGAAAGATAAGTAAATACCTAACCTACTTACACCATTAAATTGAAATTAAAATTAAATCTCCAGAACTAAATAGAAAGCAGTTTCTCGTAATAACCTTGTGCTATATACATTTTCTTGGTTATCTCATACAAAGATTGTTATACGGATTAACTATGTATTTAAAGAGCAAAAGTTCATAAAAATTACATAAGGATATTAGGTAGATTCTAGTAAAACAAACATTTTTTTAAAAGTACTTAAAAACTTGGGTAAATTCATTTTCGGCGGATTATTCAAATTAACTTCGTATGTACAGGGTACAATCCATATATGTAATTAAAAATGTAGTAATAACATTTACTGAGCAAACGCGAATTTTAATTAAATCACATTTAAAAACAAAACGCGTTTTACAAAGTAATTAAATATACAATTAGCGTTTTTTAAACTAAAGTGATTTAATTATAGTAAATCTTCTTGTAAAATCCATTAGTATGATACAACAGAAATGCAACTACCTCATTGATATTTATGGAATTCTAAGCACTTCAAGATCAACATCAGATTTAATGATGATAATTTAATTAAGCATTCCGATTTTTTATGTACGAAATTTGTTATTTGAATCGCTACATGACATTCCGATAATAATTACAATTTACTGATTTAATTACCGATAATTTATCCCAGCCTGCATGAAATATATAAAATTGTGATATGAATAGAAAAATCAGTACCGTTAGAAATTGTACTAATCCCAAACACAACGAATTAGCGAATCTAATGAACTTCAATTAGCTAACAAATGTTAGATTGTAGTAGGTAAGTACCTACGGCCTTCAAACTATCTACTCAACTGCAGATCGGTACTATTAATGGTACTTGCGTAAAATAAACTACCGCGTGCATATATGGGTACTTACTTTCCAAATAAGGGATGCCACAAGTGCTTGTGGGCGTCTTGCATTTCCTCGATGCTGGCGGTGGTACTGCCGACTTCGGGGACGTCGTCGTGCTGCTTCAACAGCCTCGGCGCATTCGCGAGATCGATAAGGTGCTGTTTAACCTTGAGTTTACCGCCCGACGACACCGTTGAACCGGAAAGATCAATAGGCTGAGTCGATTGCGGCTTTGTTGGCTCGTTCGCGCTCGAATGGCTCCTGTCCTTCTGGTGGTCCAGATGGTGTTGGGCGGATTTGTGAGCAGCCGAAGAGTGCGAGTACGACTTGGAGTGTTGCTTCGAACGGTGAGTGGAATGGGAAGCTTCTTTTCGAACGGCGTTCTGGTAGGTTTGGTGGAACTGGTCTTGCGTTGTCATCTGCATGTACTGGTGCTTCTCCATGTCGGACATTTGGTTGTACAAATAACCGAAGTTCTGGTTCATCTGGTGCGGATAGTTGTTGGATGTTTTGGATGGATAATGCTGCCTCTGGTTCATCGGATGTCGCTGGTGATTTTGCGGTGGTAATTGGGAAGATTTGGAGTTATAGGCGTTGTAGTTCCCGTACGGGTTTTGGTACGAGTTGTGTTGTTCCTTTTGGTAAAATTGATTGGAGTAATTCTGTTTGTTGGAAGATTGTGCTCTGGGGTTGACGCAGTTGTTCACTGTTCGGCTGTTTTGAGGATTCATCTTTTCGAAGTAATTCTTGAAGAGGTTTTGCTCGCTTTCGGCAGTTTTGTTTCGCAGGATATGGGCTTGCAGCATTGCTTCCTGCCACATGTTGAACTCCAAAGGATTGGTGTAGTTCATAGGCGGTGGCACCGCAGGAAAGCCCATCGGCGATACAGGCGGTCTCAAACCCGCGAACAATTCCGGCATTTGATTCATGTAGATAGAATGATGCATAGAAGATAGCATTTTCATGAAGTCTGGATTATTAGACAACGCCATGGCTTCCATTTGATTTATGTAAGGGAACCAGGGCATCTGACTAAATGAGGCTTGAGTTGCGGTGTTTATGTCATTAGCTAATTCATTAAATGCTTTAGTTTGGTTTTCAACAGTTGAATTAGTCTTCAGTGCGTTTTCAGTTGATTTTTTCTTCGTACTACTGGACTCAGTTGACTTATCAGTGATTTGTTTCTCGTGCTTATCGTGAGATTTCGAATCAGAACTTGATGATTTACTACCGACATTCAAGGAATGCTTATTACACAAAATTGACTCTAAATGATGATGATTTATAACTAGCATATTAGGATCTTGCATTATTTGAGGGTAAGCCAGCGCTTGCGGTAATCTAAGTTCGGGCCTTTCTTTCAACAATTTCGGTATCTCAGTACCGGGATTTATTAAAATTTTACTGAATAAATCTTTGGGTACCAACAGTGGATCCGGTATGTCCTGATGTGGATCGGATAGTAGTTGCTTTAATTGCACTATTGGCTCCGTTTCAGACTCATTTTGTAACAATTCCAGTAACTTGGGCGTTTCAGTAGTGAAAGATTTCTCAGAACTTTTACTTTCAGCCGCTGCTTTTTGACTATCCGGATCCAATAGAGTTTTCAAGGTAATATCTACCGATTTAATTTTTTTCGTGGGAGGTTCGCATTGCGATGACGAATTGTTTATTTCCTCCGAGCACGTGACGGTGGGGCTCGCTGATTTGCGCGATTTTCCCAGATCTAAAGGCTCCCTTTGGGGAGCGATCGTTACCTCCGAATTTAGTGCCATTTTTTTGGTACAATTTGTCAACAGAGACTCTAAAAATACGGATTTTGGTTTGCTACTTACGTTTACAGTAGTCGAAACAAGGTCGGGTGATTGTGGAACTGCGGGAATTCCACTGGGTTGTGGCGACTGTACGGCTTCGGAATTTTGCGAGGGTGGTCTAGGACTTGCTAATTGTTTAGGTATACTTAAATCGGTAGGTTCATCTTGAAGAGTGACCACTTTTTCTGTGTCATCTTCCATTTTTTTATCAATTTTTACCGATAAATCCGTAGGTTTGTTGTTATCGTCCTCGTCAATAGTAGACGATTCTACTAAATTTATGATTTCCGTTTTTTCCTCTTCTATCTCTTCAACGATTTTATCAGTATCGCTTTCGTTCTCGATTTCGATTTCCTGTTTATCTTCAATGTGCTTTGGATCGGTTTCTTCGAAAAAATTTTCAAATTCTGGTTCAGGTACGGATTTGAGGTCTGGTTCGTTTTCGGTATCACTACTATTAAAATGCACTTTTGTATTATCTTCCTCCTCGTCCTGCTCTGTTATATCTTCCTCTTGATCTACCTCAATTTTATTATTGTTATTTGAACTTGTATCACAATTGTTAATTTCCGCACTGTCGGGACTCCTTAAAGATTGTTCTAATCTGGAAAGAATATCATCCATAGCTAAATTATTATCATCATCATCATTGTAGTCGCATTCTTCTGATTTTTGGGGTTCTGTCAAATTAATTTCTTTAGTAAGTTCCAACTTGGATTTTTCCGAATCGATTAGACTGTTTAGAGTTTCTAAATTTTTCATGAATTCCTTATCTTCATCGCTTTGCTCGAAATTGTTATAAGCTACAATTGCTTCCTCATTGGTAATTATGCTTGATTCAGATGTTTTGTTCCATTCTTCCGACTGAATTTGTTGTTTAAATTCTAGTTCCGCTACAGCAAGTAAATTATCTAAAGGGCTGACGTCACATATTTTGTCGGCACTGCACTTTATAGTCGGCGATTGCGCGCAATGGCTTACGACACTGTTTACATTCGAGTCTCGTTCAGGAGAATGGTTCGGGCTTGTTGACCTCTTAACTTTAATAGTATGGGACGGTAAAAGAGACTCTACATTAATGTTATCAGCGGACATCCAAGGTGGCGAAACGGCCAGCGCTTTGTCATCGGCTTGATTGAGTATGACATTGTCCTGCGACTCCTGCTGAACGGCTTCCGCTTCCTCGTCAAAGTCAGAGGAAACTTGGACTCCGGTAGAGCGGCGCCTTACCTTACCTTTGCGAGATTTTTTATTTTTGTGATGGTGATGTTGATGTTGGTCCCTAACCGCCTCCTTCAGGGTGGGCACGAGGGTTTCGGTGCGAGGTATGGCGCGCCAGCCCTGCGCCGTCTTCGTAAGAAGGATGCGGTTCCTTTTGTCGTAATCTTCGCATTTCACGTCCACGATGCGAGTGTCTTCTTGCCGGACCCACACAAAAATCGGATTCACGCGCGGCGTTTGGGGAAATTGCCCCTGCGAACTGTTTATTTCCCGGAATTTGGAATGTTTACTAGTCGAGCGGGTTGTTGTAAGTTTGCGTCGTTCGCGTCGTCTGTCTGATTTACGGTGACGCTCGGGCCTCGCTTTCCGGGAGAGCGGTGCCTGTGGGGCGGCGCTCGAGCCACGTGACCCTGCGTTATCGATTAACTCGACGGCGGGTTGTTGATTTGCCGAGCGCCGCCGTCGAGGGCGCTGTTCGCCCATAACCTCCGAACGGTTCGAAGCGCAAGGGGCGCACTCTGAAGGGCCCCCGTCCGAAATGCCGTCGCTATTATTGTTCGAATTTCGTCTTTTACGAAGAGCCGATATAGGAATGAGATCCGGCACAGGGGGCAGAGGCCCGTTGTTCATTGCATTCACCCTCTTTCGCACATAACACTCTGCTGCTCGACGCACATTACTTTCGTTTTTCCGCACGAATCACATTTTATTTAATTTTTTTTTATTTTTTGCTATACGCACTTCTTGTCTGTTTCGTTTGCCACACACACAGAACGACGTTTTATCGACCGGCAAACGAGAGAACTACACATTCTACTCAACACTCATTCAACTGAACTCGGTAAGTGTTCTTGCCAGTGTATGAGAATTTATATCGAATATACCCGACGTCACGCGAAACGAGGTCGCTTCACGAGGGTTCAGGATTTTACTCAGAGTTTGTTGGCCCAAAGGCGTGGCTAAGGCTTTGGATCCACCCGGATAACGCCTACACATTGCGCGATTCTAGCATCTTCTTATGCTCTCCCGTCCACAAATTCCACCTGGTGACTGTGAACGTTACTATTAGGAAGATATCGTAACCTTGACATAACGTTTTATGGTTGGACGAGGACTTGAGGAGGTGTAACTATCGTAGCCAAGAATGCCAAAAGCACGCCAAAGAGTTTGATGTTTGTAAACAATGCATTTCTCTTTTCAAATTTTACGATTTTCTCCACATAATCTACCATCATCACGACTCAATCTTCTTCTTATTATTACTGCTATTTTTTTAATAACATACATCGTGTAGGAGGTACGTGAAAAATTTATGGCCCGTAAAGCTGCAGGTGCTTTTGTCATTCAACCCTTATACCAGTACGCATCCTAGCCAGAAAAAAAGCAATGCTAATTTAATAGTATTTACCATGGGGGCTGATGGGTGTTGAGCTATCGACAATAGGCATTGGGGTGAGAAGTGGACCATATGTCTGACTCGTGCTCCTACCGCAAGTAATTGCCTTTAGCGGCGATAATTGACATATTGACGACGTCAGCGACAAGTGGATGAATCCTTAGGGGATCCTTCAATGAAACTGCAGCGATATTATTCTTTTTTTCGGTACCAACCTTTGTTTAGCAATTTCTTCTTGATAACAAATTTTAATCAAATTATAGATTTCAAAATTAGTGTACCAACTAAATGGAAATGTACGTACGTATAAGTGTATTGCTGTTTGCTCTAACTATAGCTAAATAAGCAATAATGCAGGTATAGAGTATGGGGAAATTATAAATCAACATGCGGGTAAATTAATATATACCTAGTTTGAGTTGATTTGTCTATTACAATTTACAATCATATCATGTTTCCTCAAAAAATACCAATATCAGTGTTTGTGTATTAATTATTTACAAATAAATATGATCATAATTTAGTATCGTAATAATCTGGGGAACAATGATGTAGATATATCTGTCTAATTAATAATTACGGCAGGTATAAATGGAAATGGTAATTGCTATTTTCAAATACAGCACGTAATGCCAGTTCAAATATACATATATACCATAAAAGATACAATTCCTAATGGATTTATCTAATATATTTAAACAAATAATTTTAATTGCTCATTTATTGAAGTAATAGTAGTGATGAAATTGTCAACATTATTTTGTAAGAATAATTTCGAAAAACGGACAAGATTAATTTATTATTTTTCTTCCTTCAATCTTTTAAAATTCGTATACACAATATTATTTTATTTATACAGGGTGTTCTCGAACTTGGCACTAAATTCTAGGGGTGGTAGTTTGCATAATTTGAGACCGATTCGCAGATTTAATTTTTCTAAAAAAATTATACTACTATTTTCTAACTACTACTCCGGAGGTATCAAACAAATCATTTTTTACATACTACAAACAACAATATTGTGAACACTATGTAATTTGTCAAAGTTTCCCATTATTAGGAACTTTCCCGTCTTCATTCGTAAAGAAGAGTGACGCGTCAGAATAAATTGAGATGCATCACAAAAAATAAGACGAGTCATTCGGTGAATTAGTTTTCAATTACGTAATATCTGTGGGTGGTACAATGGGGGGTTATTGTTATATAAATTGCCTTGAAGAGAATAGAGATTAATTTGCTCAAAAATACAAATAGCAATTACCTACGTACAATTATTGGTTATTACTTATTCATTTTTACAATACAAGTAGTCGTATAAATAACATGACCAATGACATTATGTTAAAAAAAAGTTTAATTCGCCGTATTATTCCAAGTATGATTATAATTAAAAAATGCACAAGGCGTTGGCGTTAGTAAAGGTATTTATATCACTAAATAATTTAGAACGTAAGAAAGAGAAAAATTACATCAGGGACTATAATTTGCTGGTGAACAGTTGCAATTATATCAATTTCGCTGATAAGTAACACCTTGCATTGCTATTTGATATATCTACATCAAGATATATGCAATTGTTGAAATCCAGATAAAATCCCTTACCATGACGAGAAAAATACAGACTACTTCCTGTGTTATACATATTCACGCATACATCAAAATTGTAGCACGTATAACTCAATAATTAATTGCTTTCATTTATAGGAATCATTAGCTAGTTTATACAGGATATTATGAAATTAATTTATATAAGAATTATGTAATTAATGAGAGATTTTATAAAAGGAAAGTAAATTACAATTATTTTTATGTCTACTTGGAAAATAATGTTTTTTTTCTACAATTGTTTACATGGTTTTAATCAATTGTATACATGAAAATGTATAAAATGAATAATTCTTGGGTGGTAAGTCACAAATAGGAAATTACTATAGTTTTTATAAAGACGAAAGTTCCCTTTACAAAATAAACCCACACATTCAACTTTCTATCAGCCCTAATTTATTTTAGAGTTAAAAGAGATATCGTTAATCGAGTTCGCTGTAAAAGTTTTAAAATTAATTTTAGTAACGCAATTATTCCTAGTGTGTGCCATTATATTAAGTTAGTACCATGTGCATGGAAAACTTTTTAATATTAGATTAATGAACATCGCAAATAGAGCTCTGTTTAGACTAAAAGCTGTGAAATAGGCAAACCTCGCCTGTTTGCTAAAATAAAAGGTTTTTATTTTAATCTGCTTTACTTTATTATATCGAACATTGTCTTCTGCGTATACATTAGAATCAAAAAAAGTTATTTTTTACTGTTGATGTTTGATGCAGTTATCTAACGGGTTGTGTAAAATTTCCCTATACATTCCCGTTTCATTTTTGTGAATTTTTAATCGAATGACTCACGGCTTTTAGCCGGTGAGAACAGACCCGTTCGACTCCCGGAATCAAAGAGTTCATTAGCGACTCCATAGCCAAATTTGTTACCGAGATTAGGTGCATAACGGCAATCCATCCGGTATTTCCGACTTTGCTTCTGTGTTTCCCCCTTCGCGTGGCACTAAAAAGGAGGGCTCCGGATAAGTTACGACCCTATATGTTATCCCCAAATCCCAGGCGCCAATGTTTCCACACGGCGTTATGTTTGGATATCGTTAAATTTTATAACTATTTATAAATTATTGGTTGGAACTGTTAGCGATGTAATCGAAATAAAATTTGCTTCATTTAGGGAAATGTTATTTAGTGGGCATATTAGCGAATTTTATTGGAATTATGGAATTATTATTATGGAGTTTGTTGGAATTATGCCAAAATTTTTCTGTAATATTCATTGTTTGAAAAAGATTTGTACAAAAACTGTAGAAAGAGAAAGGGATTAAGCATTTCTGCTAGAATTTCTCGTCCTGGAAGATCAATTTCTGCATTAGTATGCCTCACGTTTGTCAGCAGATGTCTTGAATTTACAAAATACGTCCTTGATATCCTAATCTTGATGAATAACATCATTAATATGTATCTGATGACTGCATACAATACGTCAGATGCATTCGTAATATAATAGACAGACGTTGTCTTAAAACTTTTGAATTAGTTTCCAATAATTCCTGAACCTCTTCTTTCCAAAAACTTTTGAAAGATTGATAAATAATATATCTACTTATTCTGTTTGATTTTTATTTTAAAGATGACTGTTATATTTTGAAGACTTCGCATTCGTTAAACAATTATAATTAGATTGTCTGCCGATAACGACGTGCAAACATTTACTTCATTCTTGATAGGACAATTGCGAGCCTTGTTTATTGTTGGTACGTTGCACATAGCTCTGGAAACAGGTCCGTAATTAGGGCGAGAATCAACAAACCTTTGCGTTTACAAAGAAAGTGCGAGTACAAGACTCAGGAGGTAACAAATAGCGGACGACAGAGAATAGACAACAGACAGCAACCAGAGAGAGAGTGCTGGATGCACACGAAAACGTTGTTGCAGACACAAAGGGCTCGTCAGCGTGATCCGATGCAAGGGGTTCGAGAAACGGGGTTTTAGACAGGCGATCGATATACCGCTCTGTCAGTGTGTTTACGTCCGTAGGTGAAGAATATATATATCCACTCTACGTGGATGTGCATTCTTGTTGCAAAATGTAATGCGTTTGCTCAGTTTTTAGGTATCTATTATAGGGGTTTATTGAAGAAGGCGTGACCGTGACTGTAAATGAATTTTAAAAACCACCCGGTAGACCGATGGTTTGGGAAATCGTGGAATAATCGCGTTTGTGCACCTAAAAAAAAATCTCCGTCCGGCATCATCTAGACGCGAATAATCCACTTTCATGCGTACAGTCTAATCCTGCAGGATGCATATTTTCCCATTGAAATATTCGACCGGCTCATCGCAATAACACGACTTTAAACATAACTAATTCGTTAGCTGTGCACAATATATTAAACGTTAAATTATTTCACTCGATTGCGACACGATTTAATTTACTTAAACCGCAGACCGTAACGTTTTATAAACAATACATTGTACATACATTACAATGTGATGTTAATGTGATTCATTTAATGGCCGTCGAGCTTGATTTGCTCGTGTAAATACCCCGTGTTCGGGTTTTGCATATACAAGACAGCTCGACAACGGAGCCGATGGCGCCTGGAAAAATCCCAAGAAGAATCGAGTAGAGTTTGCTAAAATCTCAGCATAAAATACCTATACTAACTTAAAAATGTTCGTTCAAGTAACCTGTTATAATTGCTTTATAAAGCTCTTAAGCATCTGTAATTATTAAAATTTTCCCAGCACATTTACCATCAAAATTATCAATACTTTCCATCCTTTCTTTTTCCTATAACCACGGTGTTAGTGTCTACCTAGTTTTTCCGAATTCCTGGCGGGATTAGGTCCTCGTACACGCGCGGCAAACTAAGTTTTTCGAAGGGGGCGAGAAATAGGATAGAAGCGTAAATAGTTTAAATAAATCTCTTTATTGGATTAGGCGGTTGAAAGGCAACATCCACAATTTAATAAAGGAATTCGGCAGTGTATACGCTCGTTTGAGCGCAAAAAGTGTTTAGGTATTACGAGCGCAAAACGTGATAGATGAATGAGGGTAGGTGCTTTTGTTATGGAAATTTCGATGAAACATATTAAAGCGCTGTGAAAATGGGAGTCATTTTTCCTGCAACAATCAACCTGAACTTCAGCAGTATTTAAACGTATACTACTAATTCGCGGAAAGTTAGACTACAATTTAAACGCGCAAACTTACTGGGTTGCATATAATACTAGATCGACTTGAACAATTTTATTTCGAGAATAAATAAACAAAATTAATTAAACGCCAAACTAAACAAACAATTACAACAGAAATGTTTTCCTCAATAATCATGTAATAAAGGAACACGAATCAATCAAGTTTTCGATTAGCTTTACACCGTGAAACACGCCATTTTCATTAAAAATTTAATTACGCATTTATACCTTCCACGAATTCGACTTATCTTTTTTTACCGACCTCGTTGGGGACAGTCCTTTGACCACAAAAATCGGCCAAGCAAAAAATCACAAGGACAGAATAATGAAAAAGCGGCTAGGTTTTTGTATAGAAGCCAAAAGAAAAGACGAACAAGCACGGCTAATTAGAACCTACCTAATTATTTAATTAAAATAATGAAGGATTTACGGTACACCTGAGGCAAGCGCAAGCTTAGAAGTTCCTGAAAAGAAAAAGATTGGTGTTTTGGAAACAATTAAGTACAAATTTCTTAACAATTTCTGTTGCATTGTGCTTTTAATTGATGCTGCGAGAACTTAACAAATTCAATTTATTTTCAGACAATTTAATGTTATGTTAGCTCACAGTAAACCTCTTTTGTGTATCCTCCTTACACTACACCCAATAAAATAACCCATCAGCGTTGGTAGGGCGATTATCTACATACATCCAGCTTGAATTGAAATTTTGACGGTGGGATACGATGATAAAGGAAGTTTCATAACAGAGGGATTTATATTAAGTTATACGCAGAGTCGTATTCCCGATGGAGTAGTATTGAAATTTTTCTTCACCATTTTCTAAAGTCCGCAATATTTGGAATTTGCGGTGATACACCCATTGTTGTGCAGCCAGTTGATACATGACAAAGTAATGGGAATGTTAACAGTGTATTCCCTCTACACGGAAATATTTGATTATTGACCACAGCACAAAATGCCGCAGACCATACCAGAGTTACCTCGAGCAGGAAATGAGACCCGCTTATAATCACCCAACTCCTGTTGATTAAAAGCGGGTTTTTCCAACATTCATTCGATTTACTTGTTCCTCTGCAGCCTCTTTTACGAATTTGCACAATTATTGCACCACTAAGCTCGTGCACTTTAACGTTTTTCAAAATAATCGACTTCGTTACGCACGATTCGATGCCAATTCTGGAATTTCCTCTTCGCGATTTTCGCGTCATAAATGAGCCTTTCAAAAAAAGCAGGAATCGAATTAAATCCTTGTTAATTATTCAGATCCAATGGAACAGAAAGGGTAGCAACGACGAGGGCGGCTAATTGCGTTCGCTCTATTTCGACTCCACAGTCATGGTGCAATGGGATAAATGCATTACTGTACGTGATAACTACATTAAGGTTACGAATTTAAAATTCAACTGAAAAATGGAGCGTGCACCAATTTCAGCCATCCTTTAAATTGCATTACTAACATCAAAGACATCACGTCATCGACATTCGAAGAATTGATTACCTTTAAATTACTTGCACAGAGTGTATTGAAAAACTAATTGTACTAAGAATAAATCTTGTACACTTGGGTGGTCTTCATTTCAAAGATTTTCTTGTATCTATTCGTTTTATTTCAATGTATTTTTTTCTGATATTCGCCTCATGTGCAACAAACTCTATTTTAGTAAACTTTTTCAACACAATTTTAAAGCTCATTAGCTGGAGTCGTAAACGTAAACTGCAGAGTCGTTAGAGATTCTCGAACAGTGATGCATGCTCGAAGGGGGTTGTTAGAGTTGGAGATTTAGGGTCGTATAATTAGGCGTAAAGCGTTAAACTATTGGGGATTTTACGATGTGGGTGGGGGTTGATCTGGCTATTCGCTATTTAAATCGTCTAATTATAAATCGATTATTGCTCGCCGATCCCTCTTTGATTCGGTAATCGAGGCGATTTAAATTTGTGTATATTCAAATTGGACGTTCCACGTATGCGAATCTAAGTTTCCACACCTAATAAAACCGACAGTACGTAAATAAATATTCAAATAACCCGTCCTACGTTTTTTTTTGATATTTTAATTTTTATAGATAAATATTTAAGGAATAGTTAAAATATGATATACCTACTGACCGATTGACGTTAAATTCGAAAATTAAAACAATCGTTTTGTTACGTCAATATAAGTTTCATCATCAGTGCTAAAAATAAACGGAATTATTTAAATTGGACTTACAGCGAATATGCATTCGAATTTGGTATGCTCAATTCAGCTGCTTCTTCTATAATAACGAAATATTTCAATTTCCTTTTATACGAAAAATTCCTTTCCGTTCCATCCGAAACACATTAAATTTGTATATTTTATTGTCAAAGATGTTTCCTTGATTTATTCGAGTGTATTGATTTCCTTTGTGCATATATCCACCGTATATCTGCAATTTTAACAAGATCACCCTCTATACCGGTGGCGCTAGTCAAATCCATTTGATCCACGTATGTGTATTTCTAAGTGCGTTCATTAAATGCCTTTGGTGTATTTGCTTATTAAAGTGGTCGCCCCTACTAAGGGGAAATACTACCCTTTACGATAACATCGCTTCTGCTATATAAGGGGCGGTTTAGCACATCGAATACAGGGCGGAGCAACGTTTGCAAATAAATATTCAATTATTTATTAAATAAAAAATATTATTCTAGTAAAAATAGGTTGTTTACTGCCATATATTAAGACATACATTATACTATTATTAATTAATATATTGATTCGTAAATGTGTAATGATGAATTGTAGTGCCTTCGAAGGTCCATCCTGTATATTAGGTGCACGCACTTGTTCCCGAAATTCCGCTTTAATTGTGTTCGTGTTCCCATGGCGTTCGGCGATATGAGATTGGAGATATGTGCATGTGATTTTGAGGGATGAAAAATTCCAATAATTCATTTCGCGCAGGGAACAGTGCCGTAGGGTATAGATACAAACAGAGTCGGCACGTTTTAATTATATCGGATGGGGATCAGATGCAAGATCGTAGATTTTGAATGGGATTATTTATTGTTGATAAGAGATTGCTTTAATTTATGCTGTGAAGAAGGTTTTAATGCTTGGAAATTAGTTGACTAAAATTCTGCAATAACCAATATTATTATTAAGAAAAAAAAATTAAGAAAAAAGTAAGCGATTTACTCGAAGCTAATAAATGCTTGGAATGTGTGCCGAATAGATGAATAAAAATTGTTTGTAAAAAAATCAAAAAGACAAACTTGTCAGGCCCCGGCGAGATTCGAACTCACGATCTCCTGTTTACTAGACAGGCGCTTTAACCAACTAAGCCACGGCGCCGTTGAAATGCGCTTTACTTTTTACGTATAATTAACTAAATATAAGCAAATAGAATTAGAATTTGATAAAAAATGAACCAGCTCATTATTTATTACTATTTTTACGGTGTATTTGATAAGCTTAATTTTACAATGAAATGAAATTTCAATGAAATAGTAGAATTAATTCAAAATTATGAAGGAAAGTGGCATGTCAAGCACGCCATTTAAATCCCCCTTTGATTTTGTTCTATTTCCGCCATTATTAATTTTACTCTTTTTAAGCTTATGTTCAATTATTAAACAAAATTTCGTTTTACTTGGCACTGGTTATTCAATATAAAATAGAATAATTAGTAAAAAATGAGTCTATTCTGTGAATTTGCGCTATTTTTATCTTATCACTTTCCATTGATAATTTTAGTCCCACACTATTTAAAAAAACCAGAAATTTGTCGTTTTGCAAGAGACTTGTAATGGAATTTCATTGATTAAAAAATAGTGCGTACTATAACGTAGGAGATATAGGTAGTACCTAAATTTTTTTGTTAGTCATATTTATTCAATCAATAATTGGTCTTTCCTATATTTTTCATCAAAATGACGATTTTAAATGGAAAATTCCCTAATTAGATTTCTTTTTCGTAGTTATTTTTTCTAAATTAGTCATCTAAGTGAATTTGAGCATGCATTGCAAATTTTTGCGTAAACATCTTTAATGTATATCCTTAGCTACTAGGTATATTTTTTGGATCTTAAACCCTCAAAAAACCCTAAATTATACCTACAATATGTAATTTTTGTACGAATTATTACCACAACTAGGAAACACCATAATGAACTATTGCGTACCAAAGCAGAAAGATAAACAATGCATGTACAAAACCACTCATTATCTATTATCATTAAAATGTTATTACAGCTTTTTAATATACAGTAGATATATCATTTTAGCATTTATTTATAGTTCAAATTTTTTCTCTTTTAGAACTAATTTATGCTGATGTGAATCATTTTCCTCTGCCGTAAGAATACCTTTTCTTTCCAGTATTATATAGCGCAATGGGATATCACACTACTTATTGTAGTTGGTAGATTACGCAGCCGAGCAAAATTACCAGTCGAAATCGTAACGATCTACTAAAGAATGGGAATTCCCGTGTCAGAGAGAACACCCATAAATATACATAAATAAAAATATAGAAACCTCGCTATCATTCCGACCAAAATTTCAACGATCAACGATTCAGTCTCGTCGAGCCAGTCAAGTGGGATGTAATACGAAAGCAACCTGTTCGATTTGATGGCTATGTAATCACCTTCGCGTATAATCTCTAATCACAGCACTAACTCGCTGTATTTTATCTAGTTATCTTTCGTTTTCGACCGGCCAAAGAATCACGAACAGCTCGGGTCTCGATGGTGCTCCAATTTGAGTAATGAAAATAAATTTGATTTACCATTGTGTGTAGTGGACTGTGGAAGCGGAGTAACTATATTTAAATTTTAAAAGTGCGTTCGGTGTCCGAGCGGTTGGTTCGAAAACAAACAGCATCTTACGAATTAGTGGAATATTAAAATGAACAGTTATTTGTGGTTTATTTGTTTGTTATGTTTCGTTTACTGCGAAGGACAACGAGAAAATTCACATATACCTGAACAGGTATGTAAATAATCGTGCCTAAACGTAATTTAATGGGTAATGAGCTTACGTGAAATTTAAGGAGGTTTATCTAACTGTACTCGTGTAAAAATATTGAAAATATAGCTAAAAAATATTATTACTTACTAAGTAAATAAAATAACTCATTTCTATAGGAAATTTTCATTTATTGATAAGATAAAAAGTAGGTATACCTACATATTATGTGCGTTATATCTATTTAATAATAATACCTGTAGGTAAATAGATATAGTACCTAATATTTGCAAAATATGTAGGAATATACATAACTCTGGCGATAAAATTCATCATTTGGAAACCGAAATGAATTTTAATCAAATTTAAGCAATCAATAGAATTATGTTAATAGGTATCTCAAAGGTCAAGAGATTAATAATGGGTGTAAAGCTAATAATAAAAAATAATATGGCATTTTACACCTAATTGCATAACGTTTAACAATTTTTTATAAAAAATGCATCGGGTATTAATTAAAACCTAAGGCTTTCCACAATATCACTTTTAAAACCCACATTTTACATCGTTACATGAAATCGGGAAACCCCCTTACGTATTACAAATCAATTCATTGACCCGCCAGTGAGCGAACTTTCCTTTCCATGCACTGGAATTCCTCTGATTCAAGATTCAAGTGACCGCCTCTCGTCGAGAGAGCACTTGAAAATGATTTAATCTTTTAATATCCGAAACCACAAATATTAATAGACATGTACAATTTTGTAAGTTTGCCAAAATCATTTGCGGTCAATGTATATAAAAAATTTTAGCATGAATTGAAGGTTATCAGTATAATTAAATTATGCGTAAGTGTCTATTGTTTATTTTCTTTTTAGGTGTTTCCCAAATGCTGCAAATTAACGCAAGTAATAGAAAAGGTGCTGGAAAGTAAGGTGCTGGAAAATGGTAGTTATAATTGCACCGATGCAACGAATTTTTCACCATCTTACCGATATAAATATTTTGAAAGTAATGCAACACACATTAACGATGTACCTGAGGAAATTGACTTACCTCTCTATCACTCGCCCTTAACCTGCCACTTGTAAGTGTAATTAAATTATTAGTAAGGTATTAAATTTTCTAACGTATCTTCTGCATTCCTGCTAGTGTATTTTCTAGTCCAAAGCGATTTCCGTTGTTATAACAGAGTGGTTTAATTATTTTTGGACAAGACGAAACACTCTGGATTCTAGCTAATAATGGTCATGTTTTATTTTTTAGTTATGAGCTCTATATGAATGAAACTGTAGGTTTTATATACAACGGATCTTATATCGACATATATGATGCCAATATATGGAATTCATCCCATTATTGCATCGATTATAACATTTTTGAAAACCAAACAGAAATATTACAATGCACATTCGACTTAGAAAACGAACCGAATAAAGCGCAATTTTATTTCCCTTGTAAGTTGTTCAGTCCTTAAAATTACTCAAATTTTAGTAGAATTTTCCGATTTTTAGGTGTAATTGTATCAACATTGTGCTATCTTCTATCGGCTGTGATTTACAAAGTTATTTTGGATGTAAAAAATGTATTTCAGAAATGTTTTATCGGCTACAGCGTTAGCATGACAGGGACTTTTCTTTGCTTGGTGCTTCTTCAGAAAATTGATAACTATTGCACTATACTCGGTAAGTTAGGCGAATTTAATTGGATTACTGACTGATTTTTTTTTTGATTTTGTAGGATCTATCTTTATGTTGTTTATACTGTCGTCTTTTATTTGGCAATTTTGCCTCTGTTTTGACTTGATATGTTTGAACAAGTGAGTATTTTACTTGATTCGACTGAAAAACAAGACAATTTTTCGAATATGTTTATTTTAGGGAGGTGATCAAAGATTTGGGTGTAACAACAAGAAAACTCGATTTAATATTGGCTGGAAAAGAGAGAATTTATGCTTACATAGCAGCATCAATTTTTATTCCGTGCGTACTGGTATTTATATCTGTGATAAGCTCTAAATCTAGCAGTCCAGATGTTCCTAATTCTTTTATGAAAGGACATGGCATGTGCAATTTTCCAGGTTAGTAACGTGCCCAGTTTAACTGAATTACTTGCTATTAACTGAATTTTGTTTTCCAGATTGCCGCTTGCCTTTGCTATTTGTCCCAATTGGTTTACTTCTTCTTCTTTCATTGCTGTCGATTATTTATTCGTTCCGCCTAATCAATATTAACAATAAGGAATATAACACAGAGCACGGTTGGTTGACGGTGAAGAGTACCTTAAAATACCAGTAAGTACCGGTTAAACAAATATTTTAATACTATTAACCAAAGATCGTTTTCCTGATAAAGTTGTTTGAGTAAAACGTTCCGCCCTAAATTCGATATTTTTATTTTTTAGGTTTAAAGAGTGCGTTGTACTAATAATTCTATCGTTTATATTCTTCTTGTTGCATTTGTCAATGAACTTGGTATTGTATCCTGATATTTACGATAATGGTTTCGTTGTAGCCATACGAGTGATAACATCCCTTCAAGGGCTGTTCATCTTCCTCATTTTTGCCGAGCGGTTCGTTTACAAATGCCAACAAAAAGTAAAAATCTGCTTAAATATCTCGAACAACGCGAATATTAAAGACGAATATCCGTTGAATAATTTCAAATGTACGTATATATTCAAAATTTAATTATTGGGTGTTTTGTCCGCTTAACGTTCTTCCTGTTTTCTAGTGTATAATATTTATGCTGGTGTATCCTTAATTCACTTTAAAAATCGATAAGTGAATTGAGCATTTTAACATAATTAAATTTTCTTTTCATTTTTCATCCCTATTCATCAACTATACAGAATAAAAGCTTTTTAACTTTATAGTTTCAGAAACGAAATTGTTTTACCAACTGAAATATGAATGCACGTATAAATTTTGCGTTATTATATTTAATCATAATTGCATAAATTTGTGTTGTATACGTAGAATTCACTTTTAATTGATTTAATGCATTTTCCAGCTAGATTATTGCATGAATTATATTTAATTATGCGAAAATTATGAAGGCAAGGAAATGCTTCTGCATTTGCGTTTAAACAGGTCTTTTTGTGTTTGTTAACTTTCAATGTGGAATGTATGCAAAAATATATCGAATGAATTCTAACTAAATATTATTGTTATATTTAAATTAGAATAATCTCTGTGTACTCGTATATTAATAATTATATTATGAAATGTTTGGAGTGATTGTGTAAATTTTTCAGGACCATATCCTGCCTGATGATATGGCTCCCGTCGTTCATATGGATAATAGACGCTGCGCTGGAGAATTTAACGAAGGGGGATGCCCAACTGTACGAAATCATCGAAGGACTGCAAGGGATATTCGTGTTGGCCGTGTTCGTGCTCAATAGGTACACTCGAAAGGACATTTACGTCGCCTTGTTCCAGAAAAGAAGGAACCCCGGCGAAAATGAGCCGCCGAGGCGCTACACTAAAATATTGCGGAAATTTAGAACCGATAGCACGAATAGTGATTTTTGTACGATGGAAATAAGCGATAGTCCTTTGACTAAGCAATAGGCGAATTTAGTGAATTTTTATTTACACTATTAAAACCCCTTATCTAATATTTACTATTATCTCGATGAACATGACGATAAATTTAGAAATCAATGAATTAGTGACAAGTGAAATTGATTATTTGAAATATTATTGCAAACTATTTATTGTATTAAATGAAATAATTATTACATACTGTTGACGGAAGTGTTGTTATAAAATATAGTTTACGATGTGTAAATCAAACAAATCACAAATTTTACTGCATGAAATCATGAGTTAAAATTAGAAATGTTAAAAAAACAGTTATAGTAAAATAAATAAATAACTATAATTACTTCAGTGTTTCATCCAAGAAGCACCCCCTTCAGTATTAGCATATTATTTAAAAAACCCTGTATAAGACGAAATTTGTAATGAGATTTTTCACTTTTCTGTACTGATTGTTTTAGATAAGACTTATTTGTATAAATCTGTATTGTTCACACAGTATTTTAGATTATTTATTGTAATTTCTTTATATAATTTTATAATATTGATTCATATAAATGTTTTTTTTAAATACCAGTTCTTACTAAATTATTTCAAACGGTCAAAAGAATGGGAGGAAAGGAAACGACCATAAACAGCTTTATTTAAATTATATTCCCATAGTACAAAAATATAATTTTACAAATAAAAAGGGGCAACAAAATAAAGTTTTGTAAAAAAATTAACAAGCCTACGATGTATTCATAATATCAGGTAGTGCTTTAACGAGCAGGTTCGATAAATATATTTCCACAATTCAATTCTACCTGATATCTAGAATTACATGTCTGGAAGGAAATAAATTTTAATGATTCTCGAAAATAACATACGCTTTATAAAATATAAAAAAACAAATACTCACTTTTTAATAAATAAGTATACTCAAATCTTAATACTGAATCAAGTACAGAATCTGCTCGTTTTTTATTCCCTTTGCGAAATTATTTTCGAGAAGGTTCAAGAACTAAGCCATTGCATTATAAGGACGTAAAATATTTCATTAAAAATACATTGCAACAAATAACACACAACATAAAATGGAGGGATCCTTTAAACTACATACATTGGGCATTTGAATGTAGAAAATTTAATCGAAAGGCACATCTAATTAAGTGCTTAACATCGTCGGTAAACTGCAAACAACGATTTGTACTCAACGTGAATCAACATTTTCTAAATTCAACACAATTTTATTACACCTAAAACGAAATACCCACACGATACGATACGAATTAATCAATTTATCGATTTTGGCAGGGTACCAACGATGTATTTATTATAGAAATATAATATAGATTACCATCACAAGTTAGTTTCAATTTTAATACTATTCAACCTATATTTAGAGCTTTTGTTAGTTTAATTCCTTACACGCCTAATTTTAATCGTAATAACGTCCTGAAAACTATTAAATTTTTAATGCAAGTCATGGTCACTGTCGTTAAAAGAATCCTTGGCTGTTTAAAAGAAATAAATAAACAAATCACCGGTATAAAAATGATGTAACGATTCTTTAAATTTTATCATTTTCAATAACTATATAAGCATTATTTTTGGAAAGCGGGTATTTAATTAAATTTGCAAGCGTACTTATAAGGTAAGTATACAAGTGCCCTTGTACATATGAAATCACTGGTTTATAGGTAGTTAGTTAACTTAACGTTAATAGTATATGAATAGTCGTATTTATTTGGTTTAGTTAAGGATTATTAGATACTAAAATATGCTTGATGCTGTATGTTAATGGTTTAACTGCCCTAAGATTACGAAAAAATAGTTCAGGTACAAGCCAAAAGAGACTAGAGAAAAATATATAGCTGTTGTTAAAATTTGTTCAGAGGCATTTTTTAGTCAATTAATCACAATAGTTTACTTAAAATAAAAAATGCAATATCTGCAAAATGTACAAATAAAGTGAATTCAATATATTCTCTTCAATTAGTTTTTAAAGAATGTATACCTAAATATAGATAAAACAATTAGCGTTATCATCGAATTTCATCCAGTTTAACGAATGCTATCCGACGATAATTACCTACTAATAAATAACCATTTTTATTTAATAATTCATAACCTCATACCCGTTATTAGAGTAAAACAACTAATAAGTTCGTCTAACATTTGGCTAGAAGGCTCCAACAAGTGAAAATGAAATCGATTGCAATAACAAGTGAACTCTTTTTTTTTATAATACTGCAATTGTATTAACAGCTTAATCGCTGTCGTGTTTAACGATCGGAAAAACATTACTTATGCCCAGCACGCTGGTGACCTTATCTTCCGTTTGACTGAAATAAACAAGACAGTAATTCCCTCGACATCTATTCGGCAGATCGGGGAACACCACTTCGTATTTCCTCGAATCTTGGCTCTTCTTGCCGCTGCCGGTGCTCTCGTCCGTGGGCGTTGCGCACTTGCTTATGTACTCGTAGGTCACATACTCGTCCAAAGCGCAAAAGTTTTCCTTGAAAAAAATAATACACCGTAAATACAAAGTTCATACGTTTTAAAATGACAACGTCACGAGCCAATGATACCACAGCTTGTTGCAACTTTACCGGGTTGTAATTGAAATCTAGTAACATTTAGAACTGTCTAGAACCATTTAGAACGCTCCAGAATCATATACAACGCTCCGGAATCATTTAAAACTGTCTACAATCATATAGAACGCTCCAGAACCAGTTAAAACGACCCAGAATTATTTAGAACTGTCTAGAACCATCTAGAACGCTTCAGAATCATTTAGAACGCTCCAGAACCATTGAAAACGCTCTAAAGCCATTTAAAACGCTCCAGAATCATTTATAACGCTCTAGAACCATTTAAAACGCCTCTAAAATGGTTCTAAATAGACGTCATTGTCATTTTAAAACGTACGAACTTTAGAATAGAGAAATACAAACCTTAAATAGACCGATCCAATCCTCGGCGGTTTCTCTAATATCTTTTGTGCGTCTGTAATACGCTTTATTCTCGCCCTCTTCCTCCCAACCGGCGATATTCTCGAATTCGATGACAGATTCAGAATAATCTGAAAATACCTGATCAACAGGCGGTAATGATAATCCTTGTAATTTTAGTATCGGCTGTGGAATCTGTGTAATAACAGTCGTATCGTTAACATAAAAAAATTTTAATCGCTTAATTATTTAGACGAGTATGCGAAACAAATGCGGACGAAAGCAGTTAGTAAATGATTTACCTGTATTAAAAAAGCTGCCGTTAGTCTAACAAATAAGCATGATTAAAATTTGAGGTTACCATGACTGAGTATATTAGAGTGATATTTATATGAACGAATTCAAGTTTACCTTTATAATAAATTCAGCTGTAACGGGTTTGTGATCGCTCAAAACGTAAGATGGATGAGACTTGTAGGACAATTGGTCGACTTTTAAAGTTACATTTTCGTAATTGTTCGAATTTACCCTGTACAAAATTCTATCGCACCAAGCCGGCCTTCTCCTAAAACAACAAAAATTAGAATTGAGCACAATCAACTGTACGTTTCTCGTACTTGAAATCGTAACATGGAGTTCCTACAGTGAATTTAAAGGTAGGAGGAAAATCGGGGTCCTGTTCTGTTAACTCGCTGAATGCTTCACCTTTCTTCATCACGGATCTTAATTGGTCGTGTTCGAACAGAGATTTAGTATCTTTCTTGATGATTTGTCTCTCTATTTCCTCCGGGGTTTTATCGTATTCTTCCAGCAGACGGAAGTTCAAGTCTCCCAACCAAAACACATAACTGGAAAATACAAAACTGTTGAGTAATGCATATTTAGGGTGATATTATGAATACTCTACATCAGAGTTATTACACTTGGTTAAATAGCCTTCGAAAGAGTTAAAACATTAATTGGATTATCTATTTTTAAATTCAATGTCAATTTTACTTGTTTAAGATGCTACAGTAAAAATTATACTCAATAATCAAGGACGAATGTATTTCATTACACATTTCGATTGCAATGAATTTAAAAATAACATCCACTCGAATTTAATAAATCACTAAATAATGACAAATAAGCATTTAAAACAAATAACTCAAACTCATAAAATACTTAACGCGTTTAAAACTTGTCGCCTTCCAATTCAACATCGCTATCTAATTAAACAATTATTTATAATTGATAGAAGTACTTCGACGAAGTTCTCCGTTTAGGAAAATATAGTTTACGAATGGTTCTTACTCGTGGTAAAATATCTTCGATGTCTCCTCTACGTGGAACTCCTGGTCCTGTATAATGCTGTTATAATCATCAATTCTGTCTTTCAAATGATCATCGTGCGCGCTCAAATGGGCATTTACAAAGCATAAGGAACAACCGTTGATGCTCAATCGAATAGAAACTGCCCCTTTATTGCCCTAAAATAGATAATTAAATAATATACATACTAACATTCACAATTCGTCATACTTATGCAATTAGTTTCATTTAAATTTAAAATAACTTATTTCAGGATATAATGTTCACTACAGCGTAACTAATTAAATAGAACAAAGTTTAATTACCCACATTCCGGCCAGGCCTGTTCTAGTATATTCAGAATCGATTTCCCTAATATTTAGAATGTGTTTCCTTAAGGAAAACACGAGCAATAGTAGGCCTTGGAGTCGAAGGGATTTGAGTTTGATATAATCGTGTTGAAGGAGCTCCTTGCAGGCAAAAGTCCAAGGATCGTCGAATAAAGTATCCATTAGCATGTTCTGGGGCTGGGCTTTCACCTCCTGGAATCCAATGACGAATAAATCGGGGCGATTTTCGTTTTTCTTTTCGCTAATTGATAGCAGTTCCTTGAGATCCTGCTCCGGGGAACTGGTTCCTACGTTGTACGTGCAAAAATAGAGCCTGAAAAAAAATGTTAATAGGATTATCGACTTTAAAATCACAATCAACTAACCTTAGGTTATCCATTTCAGAATCTGCTTGCGTATATCGAGGAAATCTTTACTACGTATGATAAAAATTAAAAAACAAATCAATAAATTGTGTTTTCAATGCCAAACTTTCATATGACAACTGATTTCAAACTCTTGACATATGACATATGTCTAATATTGACATTTTATCCTTGAATTTCACAAGTCAAGTGATGTTTCATCCTTTTTTACATCGTGCAATTTGTATTTAGCTCTCTATTTAGATCATAGTAGAGCACTGTGATCATGTGAGTCGTGGAACATAATTTCAATTATTCAAATAGGCAACACTTTTTACAACATCATGTGATCGGGTTACCTATATATGGGGGTAACATATTAATAAATTATTTAAAAAATTAAAAAGTATGAAATATGAAAGTTAACATTTAAGATACAAATAATACATATCTAATAGTTATTTTCGGCACAAAAAATACTTAATTCCAAGAATGCAATATCAGCTTTTATTTTATATTAATAAAACTACTACAAATTTCAAGTGCGCCGTAAATAAATTTTCTTCCCGAAATTCCCGAAATTATCCTGCAATATCTCCGGGATAGAGTAAAGCGCAAGAGCATGGAGTAGCGAACAAAATCGATCGATATGTTTTCCAGTGAAGTGTCTACTGAAACCAGAAGCTTTAATAATTTTAGCTAATAAATTATGTAGGTAAGAAACACTGTAAATTGTCTTCAAATAAAAGTTACTAATGTCTAATATTTTGCTGATATAAATTGTCACGACATATAAATTTAAATTGCTTTATTCTTCATTATTTCTAGGTAGATGTAATGTTTTGGAAATTGACTGCCTCGTTAATTTTGGCTGTGATATCAGTTGAATCGAGGGGGCCCCACCATCCCCGAGGCGAGAAAATCGTTAAAAGGCACGTGCACTACTCCCCCAGCAAAGATAATACGGAAAAACTGACTGAAGACAAGCAACTGTTGCACGATACGCAGCACATACAGGTAAATTAACCCGTTCTTTTCATTTAAATCGCTAATAAAAGTGAAATAACTTCGAAGGAGCATCTCGAGGAAGTGATTTCAGAACAGGATTTGTCGAAAATGACCGACGAAGAATTGGAGTTTTATTATTTTCAAGTCCACGACACCGATAAAAATTCTAAATTGGACGGTTTGGAGCTACTACAGGCTATTTTACATACTGATCCTGATTACGAGCAGCAAGGTGAAGATGATACATCCAGTTTATTAAAAGAGTCTTCAGATTTTAATTATTTCGTTGGTAAGTTCCCTAACACTTAAAATCATGGATAATGTGAAATATAATTGAAGCTTAAGTATAAAGAATTTCTTAATTAATGATGTTCTATTATTTAAGAATTGGTGGATCAAGTTTTAAACGAGGACGATACTGATCACGATGGTTATCTTAGTTACTCCGAATATGCGGCAAAAAGGCGTTTACACAACAAAAAGAAGACCATTCAGCATTATAATGGAAATAATTAACAACATCTATGAGAAAAGTAATAAATTTAGTAATGTTAAATGTGATATACATGTGTATATTTTTTTTTAATTAGACCGGTTAATAAATCGAAAAATAATTTAAAATATTAATTTATTCGTTCTTACTTTCTAAGCACATTTGACCCATAACTAATTAATTTGATAATAACGTAGTTCCATTTATTTATCATCGCAATTTATTCAAGGAATTGCGATATTAGGTGTTATTATCGAAAAAAAAATAAGTGCAGTCCTTTGGCTGGCTGGACACGATAGTCTGTTCTCAATAATTCATTGCCAAATCTTGAACTTTACAAGAAAAAACATTGATAACCATATGTGATGAAATACTTGCTTACTAACAAATAAGCGAATCGGGAATATAAAACCATTATTAAACCAATTCGACTCTTGGAGGAAAGTTCGTTAAAATGAATTTCGCAGTGTGGGTGTTTTTCTTTTTTACTCTCGCTTTTTTCATTTGTGACTCATTGCAAGGTACATAAAAGCATATAGTTAATTAAATATTAATCATAAGTATACTTAACTCAAGTAATCCCCCTTCCAGCGGATCCTGTTTGCTACGGTAGCACATGTCCTTATGGAACAAGTAGATGTAAAAAGCATATTAAATCAAACGGGGATGGTTACATGTGGATTACAATCGATTGCCTCGATGATGATGGTAAGTCTGAACTATTTTCGTAAAATACTCTACTATTTTTAAACTAAATTATTAATAGATGGAGTCTTAAAAACCTACTATTACAAAGATCCAGCAACTATAAACCAATATACCAAATACGAAAGTACTTCTTACAAAAGCATCGAAGGCGGATTCCCAAACACATTCAACAGATATCAGGGAATAAACAACGATGTTGAGCAATTCATGTAATTTGAAATAAGGTAAAACTTGTATTATATTTCCATGTTTAATTTTCTAAACTTATTTATTTTTAATAAAAAAGGAATATGAGAAATTGTTAAAAATAATACACATGTAATTGATAATAAACTATAATGATTTTTAACAAAATACAGTAACACTCTCCTTCAAAGCTGTCTTATTTATTTTCGCAGTCACTTAAGAAAGCTAACGAAAGCTAAAGAGCTATCGTTCCTCTACTACTTATCTCGTGAGTAGAAAATGAATAAAGAGTAAATAATATATTATGCATTATATAATTTTTAATTTTCTGAACTTTATTTATCAGAGTATTAACAGCATTGATTGGGTTTACAATAAAAAATGGAAATTGAGTATACAATTAACATAGTAAGACTAAACATTAAGAAACGGCAATGAAACTATTTTAAGTACATTTCCCAGTGTTGGAAAAACTGATTCTTTTAAATCCGTCGAATTACCATCCGAACGTAACTCGAAGGAACCGTAGAAATTAAAAGAATTAATTATTAAATTAGGATTTGTGTTTGGTTCTGTAGTTGTCTTATTAGATAATATTTCACCTATAAAGAATATAGTTAATTAAATGTGTTACAATGGTTTACATGAGGAACACCATTCGGTACTCATTAGTAACTGTTTATACAGACATGAAATACTTACCATTTGCTTCATAACAAATTATAGTTTGGTTTATGTTCTTCCTATCAGACGTTGTAGAAGTTAAAATGGAACATGCGGCTGTCCCAGTTGTACAATTGAACTTTGAACAAACTCCTAACGTACATTATCTTTCAATTATTGGGTTTATTCGCTAATTAAGTTCACTTACCATTCATTAAAGGAGCATTTTCAATGAGCTGAAAATTTACAAAGAAAATAAGCGCAACGATTTTCAGTTTGCAAAACATTTTTACTGTCTGAAAGCACAAACAACAATATAAAACGGCAAATGCAGGTATTTTATAAGTGCTTCGCACAATTTTATTTATGTTAATTCATTTTATTTATGCTTGTATTTATAGATAATGGAAAATTATTTGACTTATTTTCGCATACTTTAGTACTTTTAATTTAGAAAATCTAGTTCGCCAGGCAATTGTTCGAATAATTTTATAAAAAAATGTGTAAAAATGTTGTTGGGCAATTGTAATAATGTTATTCAAATAATTTGTTCTATTGAAATAGCAGTACACTAAACAGTATAAAATCGTCCGAAAAATCCTAAGTGATCAGTCATTTGTTAGCATAAATCATATAATTATTTCACTGGTTGTTGTGAATAATTTACCTACCAGTGTTACGTTGTAAATTATAGTAATTTAAATAATTTTGGGAAAAACGAGGGAAATGTGCATAATTAACGCTTGTAAAACTCACTATACAAATATGTTTTAACACGAAGGTGACTTCGGTCGTTCGAAATTTCATTTAAAATGGCTATATTACTGGTTTTGCTGATAATTACACATTTTACTTCAGCAAATTCTCCTGAATTTTACAACGAAAATTGCTCTACACTCATGGATATTGTTCAAACAAACATGTCATCATCCCCTATTGTAATAGTCCACAATAACAATTCGACAATTTTCGACTGGATTTTCAAAATAAACGTCACCGTATTGTTGGTAAACTTCGAAATGGATTACGAACCGACAATATTGCGGGTACAAAATCACAACTACATTATATTTGTCGATGATTTTAATGCTCTCGACGCGGCTGTTCAATTCCTAATTCGAACCAACGAAATCAACACGAGAGGATTTTTTCTCGTCAACTTCCAAAAACCCACGAGCAGGTCCGACATCAAAAGGAGCTTTACTTATTTTTGGGAAAGGTGCATATACAGAATTGTCGTTAATACATGCAAAGGAGATTTGCTAGTTTGGTATCCTTACCATCCTAAAAATCGCTGTGGCACTAAAGTTTACCTTAATAGAATCAAATGCAAACCAGTATTTGATAAATGGTTGCCCAGTAAATTCAACGCTTGTCCGGTAAATATTAGTTGGAATATGCACGCTATATTCTTATGGGATCCTTTCAATAGAACTTTTCCTGGAGTTTTGGCTCATATTTTAAACAATTTGGGCAAAGTTATGAACTTCACTCCTGTTTATTTAAAAGAAAATTCGAATTTCCTTATAGAGTACGTACAGCTTAATTAGTAGGAGTTATAAGGTAATAACTATAAATTTTTAGTTTTCTCAAAACCAACTCATTCGATTTAGCAAAAGAGGATGTAACTAGAAGAAACATCGATATAATAATTTATGGTTCGGATAATGGTCGTTTGGTGGAATTGGATAATTTACAGGATGTTATCAAAAGTGTTTCCTACAATTTACTAATCCCTAATGTGCCGAAAACGTTCTTAAATTTTTACATCAATATGTGGAAAGTTTGGATGATTACTGGTACGACATTGTCACTGATAGTATCCTCTTGGATTTGGAAATTCGCGATGAATCAAGATTTCATAACATCATTTTTTACCATGTTTAGGCTATTCTTTCAGCTATCCATGCCGTTGAGTAGCAAAATCAAGGCGAATGTATCAGCTAAATGCCTCCTAGCGGCAGTAATAATATTTGCACATTTCATGAACAGCAAATACAATTCTCATCTAAGCAGCCGATTAACTCATCCTGGAAGAGTAATGAAATTAGGGGAACGCAACCAATATCAATCGATTAAAACGCACGATCATTTCAATTCTTTCAGCAGATTCCTCTACTTCACCGGCATTAATCAAAGCATAGGAAGAACGTCTGATAATAAGTGGGTGATCATCCCATCGGAGCTACCTTTAGAAGATATTTTCGAAGAGTACTTGGGGAATTATTCCAGCACTAATCACCTGTACACTGACGATTATCAACACTCAAGCACCAAAGTGAGACGATTGCAGATATCTTCGCAACAATTGCTGACAGGCATTGAATACAAAATCGCTACAAGACGAGGCCTGCCCATGAACCAGAAACTGAACTACTGGATAGAGTATTTAGCTCAAACGGGACTCGCTTACAAGTGGATGTCGGATGAATCAGTACTTCTGCCTAAATTTATTATCCAGAAACCCGGTAATATGTATCATGTGCCGTTGAAATTCAATCATTTAAGGGGAGCTTTCTACGCTTTGTTTCTCGGATGGTCGTCGGCACTCGTTGCTTTCTTTGCAGAATTATTAATATTTCGTTATTACGGGTTAAGAATGTACACACCCTGAACTTTTGTCTTAAGAATTCACTTAATATCTACTGTAGTAGCACTTGGTTGCTGTATTAAATAGCTTGTTAAAGTGGCTTTTCCTCAAGTAGGCATATTAAATAAAAGGTTATAATAATAATTGAAATTGTAAAGTACTTACATAGAAATACAGTGATGGGTTATGGACCATTAACCTATACGATCTAACGGAACTAACACATCGCCTTTTCAGTTAAGAACGAAACTACCGTGCATAAATTTGCTTGCCATTTTTTTTACCGGAACATAAAAGATCAAAATTCCACTATATAAGGAAATCGCTCGGGTCGTATTCATAGTGATTAATAGGATGTTATTCTGTCATATAAACCTTATAGGATGGGAAGATGCATCGAAGTTGCGTCGTCAAAAAAAGTGGTCGACGTTAAGAGAGCCGCTAGATTAAGTATCTATAGCACCGTGTTTTCCATAATAGCTCTATACTATGCGCAATCACGTTTTCTATTATTACTCAATTACGCTAAACATTATATGGTATTATGAAATTGGTTCACGCCCAACGTTAGTTAAAAAAAAATCTTTATTGAAGACGTGTGCACGCAAAAACTCTTTATTATATGCACTTTAATCATTTTAATAGCGCAATGATTTGTACTAAATATTACTGTTACTTTATTATAATTATTAACACAAAAAAATTTTGATTCCTTATTACAATTACACACACCTTACTCATTTTTATTTAACAAACATATCATCTTCCATCCTGTACTTACACACTAACACCTATAATTTCGAGAAACGTGCTAGAAATAAATTTCTGTGTGTATTTTCTGCAGTGCAAGTCATCATCCAAATATCTGCATATATCGGCCTTTGGGCTCAAATTCTTCGTCTGTTATCTGCCACCCATCACAGCATCAGCCACCAATGAGGTCATCGACTTTTAAAACCAGTAATTTAATAGTCGCCGCCGCCTGCAATAGGACATACAAGGCGATTTGCGGAACCAATAGCGCATAAAGTTCGAATTACCTGCATTAAAAATCGGAGTTTTTCAGTAACTTCAATTCTGGCACGATCGAAATCGTCTTAACAAATAAACAAACATTGTTAATTACTGTTTGATTGAAAATTATCTAACAGGTAATTCGATAATTAAAGCGAAACAAATAAAATTAATTGAGAATAAAGGAACGCAAGTATGCACTTTCTCCCGATTCAATCCCGACACAAACTTCCTCTACAGTAATGTTTAGGATTATTTGTTAATTGTTTAATATTAAGTGAAAGTAATAGAAACTAAAGCTTCTTCTCGTAACAGATGACAAAATAATAGGTGCACTTCTACGTTATGATGGAATTATATTCATTAAAGAATATACTTTGTGAAATTAATTTTAACAACCAAAAGTATCGTCAAGCAGAATGGATAATAAACGAGTTGAAATCCATACATTACCAATTAGATAATTAATTTTAAAGGATACACATCGCTTGTAGAACGGTCAACTGTTATGTAGAAAATGAAAAATTACCGTAAAAATAAGCTTTATTGAAAACTCCGTTACGGGACATTTTATTAACGACTCCGGGTGACAATGAATAATTGTTGAATTACATTCCGAATAAGATATATCATTCGCAGCCAGATGTTGAGCTCGCGATTTTCCTACTATAAATTTCGAATTGAATGCGAGCAGCTCTCGTGGATGCCCGTGAATTTATGGCGGATCCGTAATATTGTGCTTTCTTTTTATTTGTCATCAATTTCTACGTCAAATCCACGCAAGAATATACCGTCAACACGCGAGACCGGCATTCATTCACTCGACCGTAAAATCTATGTATATGGGTGAATAGTTGGAAATATTGTTTATTAACAATGCGTGTATGAATTGCGTATAAATATATCAACACCCCTTATGGAGTGGTTTTTATTTAACTTCTCGTTTTATCATGCTTCAATGTATCGATAGAGGTGTATTGAAAATTCCGAAAGTGCCATTTGGTTGTAATGCGGCTGATTCGGCCTTCGTACAAGCTCCTTCGCGTTGGATAAAGTGTTGGAAACGCTAAAATAACATCTTTAAGAGCGCATAAAAAGCATAAGTCGAATAATAAACTAGGCGCATTTATTATTTGCTACCAACTGCGATGCTGATTAACTCAACAGCTCCCTATCTTAAGTACTGATTAATGTTGGTAATTATTTCAAAGTACGTTTCGATTTAATCCGATACAAGCAGCTTATTGGAATCCTTAAATATTATTATTATTCATATGTAAGGTACTTTACGTTAGTTGAACGGTCGTATGTGCTTGTAAAGTTGTTTAGTTTAAAGCTAAATTGTTCGAGCCGAGGGGGGTTTCATTTACGGGAAAAAAATTTCTGCACGGTACAAAAGAGCAATGGATGGAAAATTGTTACCCTGTAATTACGAACCCCATAATTGATCGCTAATAAACTTAAAGCTGCAACTTTACCTCACAATGAGATATAAATCATAGATTAAACATTATGACGCCAGTATATTTATTTCCATGTAATTTCTCATTTAAAAGACATCCCGCTGCGCAAAAGTATACGAACTATTATTGTTTTCCTTTAATGAAGAGTACTAAAAATCATGAAATATTGCTCGGAGAATAGCACTGGACAGCAGTAATTATTTCTTTCGTATAAATATAAGCGATTTCGCATGGTTGTTGCGGAGTATTTTTGAGCCGTCTTTCTCAAGAGAAACATCTCAAATAATTT